ATACCGAGAACCATTGTGCTTTCCGTGCAGTGAAGGAATAATTGACGTTTTGGCTGCCCGTCAACTTCACGAAAAGTGTATGACCTGACCAAGGTCTCAATATCTCTTCAATTCTACGATGGTGTGATGTTTGCTGAGGACTGTGCCCTAAATGCCTCCGCTGAAAATATGATGCAATGTTAGAAGGGCAGATTTTCATCCGCATTCTTTGGCCTCACCATCGGCCAGAAAGACCTTAGACCAAATCTATAGCCACATCTATACGAACTGTACAAAATGGTAAAGAACAAAAACTCCACGCAGAGGACAGCTTGACTTGACAAAGTGTACTGCACAGTTGTGCTCATCACGGCTACGAAACCTGGACCAACAAAAACTACAAACGATATGAATACCAGCTGCAGCAGTTCCATCTTCGTTGCCTTCGCAACCTGCTACACATCCTCTGATAGGACAAGATACCTGACACGGAGCTTTGGAATAATGAATCCTGCAGACAGAATTTGCTTCTTCAATTTACAACTGAATCGATAGTCAGCGGCGAGACACCATAAATCATATTATCCATAACCATCTATCCAACCCACTGTCGCCTGGAGGTTTTAATTTAAAATAATCATTAAATTTTTTAATAATCCAATCTAAAAGAAACCATTCAAATTCAGCAATATACTGTCAGTCAACTTGGGTTTATTTTTCAAGGTTAAACTACCATCCTAGACAGTAAGAGGTTTACAATTCAATCTGATTAGGTCTAGGATTACAAGAGACAATGCAAGAGTCTGAAGAACTCACCAGTAGACTTGTCTGAGATTTAGATAAGGGGGTTATACAGCAACAATCCTATTAGTTTTATTGGCGGATTATTGCCTTCAGATTGATCCTTCACTCTATCACTCAGTCAATCAAGTTGTATAAAAAGGATTAAGCGATGGGTGTAAATTTTTTTAGTATTTTTATTGAACAATAGTTAGATTAGTATGAAGAGGAACACTGAGGGAGATATAAAGTAGGTCTTGTGTGAAAGGAAATATTCAATGAAACGATTCATATGAGGTTGAGAAGCGGAGATGGTCGTGACGAGCGTTATCCACCTTCTCATATATATACTATTATAGAGAGGGTAGACTATTGATAGAAACAGATGCCTGTGTTTCTTGTCCCCTTTTGTATAATGAACAGTAGATCTCCACTAGCAGGCGGCGTTGTCTTAAGGTTATATTTTTCGAGACATTTATTCAACAATGGCAAATCTCGACAATTTCGCTAGGGTGGCAAGTTTGCTCGTCGCGAAGAGTTTGTACTAAAGATATTCTGCTAAAGATATGTTATGTTTATCCATACCGATTATATAATTTATACAATACATTGGAAAGGGAACGGAAAACAAGAACACGCAACATAGAACAGCTGTAACAAAGAATGCGCTACATTATGAGTACGTCTTCAAATGCTCGTAGTGCAATGTCGTGCTATTAAGAATGACTTGTGCTTATGCTATCAGTTTTATTCATCGTCCTTTTTGACTCAGCAAAACAAATGCCGCTAAGTAGTGAGAGAAACCACTTGTCTCTATGGAGTTTTTGTACATAATTCTTTGTTGCCATCAAGCTATTTGGGAATTACTTCTATTAACACCATTAAATAGGTTTCTATTAAAATATCGTAATTACTCTTGGGACGATAGCTAAACATTCTTCTGTTCAAACCTTTCACATTTCAACGGTAAATCAGTCGAATGATCGTAGAAGAAAAATAGCACAGAATAGATACAGACATAGATAAAACGCTGAGTCGATATCCTTGTTTCAGACAATGTGCATTAACTCAACCATTGCATTGAGAATAAAGGCTGTCGGGTTTAAGTAAACATAAGATGGCAAATAAGAGCTTTCATTCATTGCAGAATTCTTAATCCAGGAGAAGTATCCCAAATACATGACGATAGATTTTCACAATGCGGAGAACACAACATGATCTTAAGTCAACCACATGGTCAGGTCGTGCTATTTCAGCATAATACCTCTAAGATATAAACTTTCAAGACTCATAATCAAAGTGAGTCCGACTATGTAGTAATGCAAAAGTTTTAGTGCTAATTAGACCGGCATCCCTTTATATTATTAAATGTTAGAATTAAAAGGGAACTAACCTTATATATTTCTTATGAATACAGACCATTATCAATTTCAGGCTGTTACTAATATCCCGTACTGGCCAATGCACGTTTTAAGTTTGGTTTATTGGTAAGTATTCAATAAGTATTCACTAAAGAAATGGGAGAAAACTTCTATCAACTTATTGCTATACCCCACTGTTGTTTTGTTTATATATGGTTGCGACAAGATCAAACGTTAGTCGTATTCTTTAAATGAAATATTTCAAGACTTTTTGTGCTCTTGATTTCGACTATGAAGGTAGACAAAAGAGCTTATGTACATTGTAGTCCACTTTTCTGAGATAATATACTTTTGATTGCCTACTGTACATTGATTGTTTTTTATTTCTTTTATGTGTATCGGGAACACTGATAGCATCAATTTGCACCATTCCAACTTTCGAACAGACGTCTGTGGTTCATGCAATTACTCTAAAACTAAGTGTTTGAGGACGTCACTAATTGCGAAGAGCCTTATGTGATATAAGCATATTTTTGTGAGGTTCTATAGCACAGTCGGTTAGAGCAAGTTCCACTTGCACCCTTTAATTCCGGTTTCTGCAACATGGCGTAAACTCTACTGTCAAATTTATTGATCGCATTTCAGAGGTAGGTTATGAATGAAATTTTCTTAAGTTATTCAATTAGTAATATTTTCAAGAAGTTCAAATATCTATCAATGTAATTGCACGTCGATCATCACCTGCAAAATCTGTCAAACAGTGAACTTTCTAGAGTGTTTGCAAGCTAAAATTGAAAGCGTTTTCTAGAACAAGGGCAATAACTCATACTAATTATTTTTCGATTTTTTTACGTTTTCTTTCCCAGCCAGAAATTTTCATGTGAGAAGACATATTTTCGACAAAGTCATAGTTCTAAATAATTTTTTTTCTTTTCATTCACCAAAGACGATCTTCCACTCATTCGTAGAGCGAGAAACTACGATAATAATAGAAACGGAATTAGACGTCAGTTGGCGGCCCTGTCAGTACACAGTTCTATGGTTAGGGCGTTGGTTCATTTGCTTGGTACGTGGAGCAAATGGCGCCTGTAGGTTCAATTCTCGATCGGCGTGTGATAGTCCGATGACCTTGAGTAAGTCATATTCACTCATTCCAATCGACCTAGCTGTAAATGGGTATGGATAATCCGGGAAAGATCAATGCCAAGATGTTTGGCCAAGGACCAGCTGGTAGAAAGGATCCTTAACTGTGAACCTAAGTGACATCATCAAACACTTAGTTTGGGGTCTTTTGGATTGGAATATCGTAAATTGGTGCTATAAGTGTCGCGGATACACATAAAAAATTTAGAAAAACCTCTTGACAATCCTTTCAGATTACACAAAAACCCAAAATGGCAGAACACATCTTGTAATTAAAGGTTTCAAAATGAACTCAGAAACCTTCTCTTACATCGAAATCTACAGTAATATCAAGGCTATAACTAGACGCAGAATAAAAATTAATTAGGATTACAAAACTTTATAAATAGCAGCTGATTCTTAAATATTTGAAATATAACAAAAGATACATTAACAATCGAAAATAAAGATTTATTTGTGACTTTTTAAAGAACGAACATTATGAAAATAGAATCACATAACAAAAACAGGGTAAATACATCAACAAGAATGAGTTCTGGATGAAAATGGGTAGAGATGATGAGCTTTTGCAATAGATCTAGTTTCTCGCTAGTTCAGATTTAACCGGCCGCTCACAATAAAAACCTCAGTAATTTTCACGAGAGGTCTAGTGTACTATGTACCTTATGATAATGAGTACTTCGAAGTATTTTCAACATTTCACCCTATAAAATTTGGTAATGTGGTAACACCTCGCTTAACCGAACTAAAACTAAGGAACCTCGTCCGTTTAGAACACATTGTTATATTGCTAAGGTATGTGCAGATACCTAATAGGTCTTCTTCCCTTATTAATAGTTTGTCACCGGTAACCAACATAAGTTTTGTAGTCGATTCCGTTATACCTCTCTGTCGAAAGTTCGATGGTCACACTCGGGAATCCTGTTATATTTTAAACAGGCGGTACAAGGGCTCGTTACCATATCTTTCCATGAGCTGTCAATGTTTATCTCGAATGCAATAAAAAACGTGCACTCTTTCTTTGCACTCTTAAGAAGGCTGCTCAGACAAACACACCTAACCTTTCACCATCACTAGAAGTGGCTTCTATTGTAGCCGTTGTATCTAGTTTATCCGACTTCACCAAATCGTCCTGGACGTAAGAGATTGTTTGAATGTGGTAGGGACTGGATGGTCGGGATCGAGAACTTTCCTCTTGTATTGTAGTGGGAATACTCAAAGTACATTCCATAATGGCTTTCCTATGTTTGCCTTGAACTAGGCCAACATTTTGATCATGTTCCCATTGTTCCTTCGTAGTGAGTTCAATCACCGGAACTTCCTTTTGCGAACTAATGACTAATGACTCCTTTTTAGAATTTTCTTTTCGTTTGAATGATGAGTTTGGAGTATTTAAGGACTTGATACTAGTGTTACTGGACCGGGAGAATTTTAAGCTGCTAGAGCGGGATGAGGTTGAAGTGTCTCTTAATCTTTTTATAATTGGGTGTCGACTGGGAGTCGTGACCCCTGTTTGATCAACAGGTTTAAAATTCATTAACAAATTGACCTGAAATTAAAAAGAGAAAAAAGATTTAAAACGGACTATAGCTTGAGGCACCTCAGACATAATGGTTGGGTAATTTAGATTGACAACTGGTGCTTCCAGACTAGCGAAAAGCATGTTTATATAGCTTGCCATCGCGCCTCGTTAGGATCTTTACATTATGTAACACACTTGGTGAAGTTAATATTTGCTTAACAACTTACCGGTGTATCTGTTCGGTTTCGTGATTTATTACAGTTGATCCATTTAAAGAGATATTTTCTAAAACTTTGACTGGTATAAAAATATAATATTGGATTCAAGGCACTGTTAGCATGGCCTAGAAATATAGTGAATGGTAGTACTAATAAGAAATCGTCTGATTGGTCCGTTTCAAAATCCAAATATAACGTCACAATATAATAAGGCAGCCAACAAGCTGCAAATAAAATGGCTAATGCTATTAACATTTTGGCGATACGCTTTCGTCCAACCATTATTTTTTGTGACATTCCACGACTTATCTCTGATTCTGAGCGTTTTAAATTTTCGTCTTCTGTCCATAGCTGTCGACCAATCAAACCGTAGCTGGTCGCTATTATACAACCAGGAATAACATACACTATAGCAAACAAGCAACTGTCGTATATCTGACGATGTTTTAAACTAGGCCAATCTTCATGACAGAAATGTAAACTTTCGTTTGGACTGAGCGGTAACGTCTGTGTTTTTCTGTACACTAATAATGGCGCCATCACACTACAAGATAAAATCCAAATAACTGAAATGATTCTGGCAGCCATCTTGTAGTTTGCAACTCTCTTGAATATCATTGGGTGCCTGATAGCCAACAGTCTGTCTAAGCTTAACACTGCTATAGTGAAAATACTGGCCACCACAGTGACACCTGAAAAGATTAAGAAAAGATTGCTTTAAAATATCGAGATTATTGTCTTTATGGGTAATACCAACCTAAGTGTGCAGTGTGCAGTGTGCAAAAAGAATTTGTCGAGAACATTAATAAGTTTTTCGATTTTCAAGGAGTGAGAAGCATATCATGTTGAAGTGTGTAGTCCGAAGTTTTAAATAAGTGTTCACTAAGTTGCCGAATGAGTTGCAGTAGAATCCATACAGTAGGACCTCCCATCCAATGTTTCAGTATGTTACAATGATTAAGTTTCCGTTATTAGTATTGGAAGAAGTCTATTTTGTGTCGTTTGGTAGATGTTATCAATCAGTTCAGGTGTACAGCTTCCCATTGTTATAGCACCTGTTGACATCATAGGTATTAATAAGTCTTAATAATGACGTATATTATAAAGATGGATTAGTTATGATATATATTTTACTATAATATGAGTCAATATCATATCATTAACGCCTATTACGAGTTTATTTCATCTTAGTTTATGTCTCATTATATTAGCTAGTTTTCCAAGTCGTCAGATCTCACTAACTCTCATCTGATCTTGACAGATGATCTCCTTTACATTTAAATTTCGAGCGACGATGGCATGCTCTGATATTTATACATGTAATTGTGCTTAGGCGTACTTGGAATAAACAGATTGGATAGATTGTTAACGATTTATTCGATATTATTAGTTGGTTTGGTTTGTCCGCTTCTACCGAAGAAATATGGTCTTACATTAGTTTCGATTTTTTGTTTAAAAATGGAATCGGAAATTATACCTTAGTCATGTTATTAATAATGCCTACATAATTAGTGGCTCCTGTTTGGTGAAAAGAAATTCGATTACGCTCACGGCATTTATTATTCCATGCCTGTTGTTGACGTTCGACATGGCCCATTTTCAATTAGGTCGTTGACGTTTTTTTCAGTATTGAACTAGGTGACCTGATCTCAGTCGTTTCCTGTTTCCTGTTTTTAGCATTGCGTCTACTGAGTTAAGTTCATTAGTGTATTATATTTAGGTTGGAATTTTGAAGGATGTTCTCGTCAATGATGTTGACAGGAAATAAGTTACTAAAAGACACATTCGAGGAAATTGCTACTAGTGTGTCAAATCTCTAATTAAGTGATGTTGATAGCTCTGGTTGAAGGAATTTCAGATGACATATCTGTGCATCATTTATTTCCATTATGTTACCCTAACCTGAAACACATTATAATCATAGAATTCAAAACTATAAGTATCATTGTTTAGTTAGCTCTTTGATTAATGGGGATGTGATTCTTTCGCTTACGTTACGATTAGCAGGACTGTAGATAGATGTAGAAAACGAAATCATCACATTACCTTGTAAAAATCCTGTCACTTTACACATAAATTCTCCATATATCCACACACTGTAAACTGCTTGACCAACTGCCATGGGTATGCAGACTATACAAACTGCAAATACAAAATGAAATGTAACCGAATCAAAATTGTGAATTGCTACATATATACAAATTCAAAGTGGAGAGTTGTGTTTATGGTACATAACAGGTGACGATTCAAAACATAAACAGATGGAACTTGAAACCATGTCAACTGGTTGACATTGTGATTGTTGCAATCCGACTGGTCATTTTAGAACACATCTGGATGCGCAGCATTATCTTTGTTGTACTAATATATATTTCTGAAAACATTTGCACTTGTTAGTTGGAGTTAATAACTCGTAGATTACAAAGAAGTCATATATCGTGCATTATTTTAATTTAATGTGGTAAAGAAACCGTATGAACATTTAAGTAAACAGACATATAATATAATATAATAGATTTCATAAAGCGACATATTAATTAATAAAACATGTGCGTAATTTGTGTTCATAAGGTTTTTTTTTTAAAAGATATAGTTATAAACATTACAACATATGTGGAAACGTTGCACCATACGGACAAACCCACATCTAGTAAAATTTCATTCACACGTTCATGAGACATGACTTTTTAGCTGCAACAGATGTTTAAAAATCTCCCGTTACATTTATCTACTTTCGAAATAAACTTCTTTCTCTCAGCTCTTCAAAACTCTTCTGAACCGCGGGAAAAGTGATTTGTTATAGATAAAACAATAAATCTATGACGCTATATAAGTATTCAGAACATGATGTGTTGTATTTCCTTTTCAACAAAAACAAATGTTAAGCATTCAAAACAATGGTACAAGACTAATTGACCAGACTGTTACATGTTAATTCCTAAAAATATTAATGAAATAAACAAAACTGGCTTTATAATAATTGCTCAGTATGTTATCACTAGCAAAGACACAGTATAACCCGCCCCTAGAACGTGATATTTGGGATAATGCTATTTTGTATGGGAGAAAAGAAAAGCCAAATTGTGCATAACCTTCGGTATCTATACAAAGCTGAGCAATTGATGAGTCTACGGTGCTACAATACAGTTGAGAAACGTGATTTTGATGCGTTTACACTAAGTAAAAGGCAAAAACTCAAATACTGTTTATGAAAAAATTATCTTGTTCGATTCCCTGTAAATAAATAAATGCAAATAGTCCAAAGTAAGACAGGTAATATTATTGTACTATTATAGAAATTAAACAAAAGGCAAAAACTCCTGTATTATGTATAATATATAATTATATAATGAAATTTATCGACAGTTCAAACTGTATTATCATTACCGTCACGTATTCGCGAGGCCAGTACTAGCGGTACACCAATATAAAAGAGGAACTGAAACAAATTAATTCCTACATATCAATGAAATCAACAAAACCGGCTTTATAATAATTGTTCACTATGTGTTCACTAGCAAAGACACAGTGGACTTGTGACGACTATATTAGCCACAAGTTCTGGCATACATTGTCATTATGCACTAGAGGCTTTCTAACTGACGAATCCTCATGATTGATTGTTACAATTCGTCTTGCATGGGAAGCAACAGGATTCCCGATCACATTTTTACATAATAAAATAATGGTAGATACCAATTCTACATTTTATAGTATGTGTATTCAGGTAAAACGAGCCTAAGATGTGGTAAGATGCCTTATGTCAAATCAGTCTTCATCTAACAGAAATGTTAGGACTGTGTCCTGAGGCCACGTATAGATGACTGTCAGAACAATGCCTCTGAAATAAATCCTGGTAAATGGACTTAAGATGAGCTAGGTAATGACCTCGACAAATATTTTTATTATGTTGTTGAGCACTAATTAGTCATATTACGGTAGTAGCAAGGATGGCAACTTTTGATCAATAATAGCAGGAAAGATAATAATAATATGAATCAAAACAACCAGGTTTAAAGATATTGATTTTAATTCCCTGTGGAATAAAGTCTCCAACTAAGCTCTGGAATAATAAAAACAGATAAAAACAGAGGTTACAGACATTATGAGATAATAATGTTTCTTCTTATACTACACCATTGACCATAATCCTTAATTATGCTTCTTCTTGGAGAATTAGAGTAACTAGAATTCTGTAAAGAACATACTATACTCTCGGCCTGTTATTGTAAGATTCTAATTCAAATCCAGGTGCGCATACGAGCAGAATTCATTCTCACAGGTAACGCTTAAAGGAATTTTTTCTATACGCAAGCCTGAAATTCCTGTTCAAATTGAACTAATATGATACCATTTCACGTCATATAAAAAAATATTGGTCTGTGCATGTCATTTGTTCCCGTTTCTTGTATCTTGTAAATTAGCCGAAAGGCTCGGACAGTAAAACATTCCTTACGTGAAAACAAAACGATAAAAAAGTTGGTCAGTAAATTATTATCGGATACATTTTTTATAATTAAGATAGTAATGTTCTCTTTACAAAATTAAGTAAGAATATTAGAAGAAGAAATTGAAATTACATTGTTACAAAGTCAACATTTACAGACATCCAATACATTAACTTCGTTCTTACAAGACATTTATAGCCAGAGATCATTTCTATACACATAAGTGGAAAAATCTATTCCAATTTCAGCGATAGTATGATGAATGTAAGCTGCATATACACAGAACGTTTCTTCATTCAAATCATGCACTAAAACACCGACTTTTCAAAGATGAAAAAGGAAAAATTTAATAAACGATAGCCTAATTAGATTGTATTATAATATCCAGGAATATTTTAAGCCAAATATCATGGACTTTTTCATATCAGGAACACAATCTCCCTAAACTGGCAGGATATTATTTGTACTGAAATTAACAGAGGCTTTGGTATCATCTAGCAGGTAAGATGATCATCAGCTTTGTCTATGTCAATCTAATAAAATTAAATTACAGTTACATTTCTAATAGAGACTGAAAATATCAGAAAACCAAAAAGATACGTAGATGTTTTTTTTATGTGACTCCAACGATCTGCGTTTTAATCAGGTTGTATTAAATCCCGATGAATGAAATATGTAAATGTCACTAAGTTTGAATATATGACAGGGAAAGTATAGTGTCAAACTGATCCGAACACAGGCATCTGTTTCTATAAATAGTCGACTCTCTCTCTTATTTATATTGAACAATAGTTAGATTAGTATGAAGAGGAACACTGAGGGAGATATAAAGTAGGTCTTGTGTGAAGGGAAAATATTCAATGAAACGATTCATATAAGGTTGGGATTATGTTTCATTACGATAAATGGTAGAAAAATCGTCTGAAGCGGAAATGGTCGTGACAAGCGATAGCCAATTCTCATATATACTATTATAATGAGAGTGGACTATTGATAGAAACAGATGCCTGTGGATCTGAAGCTAATTCAAATAAATAAATGCAAATAGTCCAAAGTAAGACAGGTAATATTATTGTACTATTATAGAAATTAAACAAAAGGCAAAAACTCCTGTATTATGTATAATATATAATTATATACTAATTTGAAAAAATGAACCTCCAATATATTTGCGTGTTAAACAATTAAATAATAAATGAAATTTATCGACAGTTCAAACTGTATTATCATTACCGTCACGTATTCGCGAAGCAAGTATAGTAGCGGTACACCAATATAAAAGAGGAACTGAAACAAATCATGGAAGTTGTAAAATCTTATTGACATCTCGCACTATTATTCTAATAAACCAGCAATTACCTGTCAGTCTTAGACTTCGTCAAGCATAAAACTACAATTAGGATGCCAATTCATATTCCATTCGGGTTAAAAGGTGAGAGTAATCATACACGCTGATGGAAGAGAAAATAGTCTAATTTTCCTTGTTTTCCACCAATATAATGTTATCATCATGAGAATTACTTTATATGCATAGGACTGGAAACGCTCTGCAAATGATATTTGATTCGCCAATTAACATTATTATCATCAATATCATTTCATCTGACAAAACGCCATTTCTGGAACACTACACTGATAATATTCTATTGACTACCTATTCTATCTGTAGATAGAAATTATATTACTTCTTATGTTTTACTTAACTTACAAACAAGAATGATGTGAGTTTGATGTAACGTTTCCGGTGAAGCCATTTGAGACATTTCAAAGCAAGAAATTTAAGCGGGAAGTATTCAGTTCATATTACGAAACTGTTCTACATCTTACAATCGAATTGGCAATTATTTTGTGTGAATTGGCGTAAAATGACAGTGGCAGAATATGACACTACCTAGATATCCTAAGTGTATTATAATGTTTATATGATGACATTATTAAAGAATAAAAACATGACCAATCCTCATCCACTAAGATAAATACACACACCTAAAGAATATAACTGGAACTTCTTATGGTCCTTTACTATATTCAGATTAAGCTTATTCAGAATAAATTTAGCTTTAAATAAAAGCATACGTGCTTTCTATGAACCTATGATTAAGTTAATCAAATATAAGAATTCATCAAAAGAATGACCATATTGATAATGTAAATATGCTTCAGTTTTCCTTTCTTAAAGAGAAAGATTAGAGTAATTCATCTGAAGAGACTTGTAGCCTACTTAAAAACAGAGAAACGCCTTACTGGTTTCTCTGGGTTTCTTACATGAACTATCTTTGAAATATGATGGTTGGCATAATTTGATTCATTTTCTCTCCATTAAATGAGGTTTTAATCAACACCAGAACGAAGCACTTCATAATCTTGTTAACCTGATTCGAAAGCTCAGATGTGATAATGTCCTTTTATAAGATGATCTGTATAACGCTCTTAGTAACTAGATGCTTTTAGCAGTTCGTTAACGGTAACTTCGTTACTTATAAATGCCTTAAAAGAAGTTCAGCAACGGCCTTCAGTAAAGTAATCTTTGATACAATTCTGTTAGGTAAAACCATGGCAAATGGGGCTTATTGTCTATAGAGCACCGTCTTCTGGATTTGCATAATTCTGGTTTTGAATTAATATAGAAGTTCTTCCAGGAGAAATCATTATTTTCTTTGGACTAAGGTAATACAAGACCCAATGATAAAGTTA